AAAAAATAGAAATAAAAAATATTACCCTAACAATTACTCAACACATATATTGAGCAAACGGTAACGAGTACCATTAGATATAAGAGAAGAATGACAACAATAATTGTAGTGGTAATAGTCATGATAAAAAGATTAAAACCTGTTGCAGCTTAACTTTGTAACTCGCCTGATAATCGTATATACCCATCAAGCATAACACAACTGCACCGACAAATGCTAAATTAATTTATGATTATTAGACACAACGTTTACAATGCTAAACCCAATAAAAGACTCCCAAACTACGACTAACACTTGTAAAACGCATAATACAATCATGAAATAATGAGTTGAACCCCGTTAATCATCCCTAAAAATATGTTTTTAATATAATTAAGTTTCGTGTCAAGACCCAATCAATTCATCCACTCTCCCCCGCACTTCGCCCCCCACCCTTCCCCCAACCCTTCTCTCCTCTTTTCTTTTTTCACTAAATTACATAATAAATGCTTGAAAACATAAAAGTGACGGCCGAATACAATGGAAAATTATGTTGGCTTCTCCCAGACACTATGGGCTAAAATTTCAAATAGTCAATTTATATAAAGCAGAATTTCAAACAAAAAAAAAACAACTTTCTCTCTTTGAAAAACATACAAAATACCAAAAAATCAATTATCTATAGCAGTATGAAATTACCGTTGAAACAGGAACTAAACTGATATCGACAACAGTTAATTCAATAACGCAAGAATGCTTAAACACCTACACTAAATTTATAAAATTTACAACAAATTTATGAGTCTTCAATTTGAAAATTGAGGACGACTTCATAAAAATATTAAAAAATAGAATATGATTAAAAAACTCACTTAATAAGGCACAGATTATGAAGGTAAACCAGTAAGTGAAAATCACAAAAACCATTACAAAACGAACAGTCTGAAGAAACATATATAAAAAACTGCCTACATAAAATTGCTTAACCGCTAATTCAATGAAAATTATTGAACTTGGCCACATAATATTAAAACTAAAGATAATCCTTAATGTAACAGAAACTTTATGCAAAACCTAAAAAAAACTATTTTAAAATTTTTTTACGTTTCCTGTGAAAGCTAAATTTATCGCAAGCTATTCCCTCTTTTTAACGATAATAATCACACCCCGTCATCTTTCCTACAATAAACCAAAGAATTCCTCATACACAGTATTCACACAAAAACAAAAGTATAAAACTGTAGAGAACACACACAACATAACACCGATTAGAATGGCAAAATTCACCTATAAATGTCTTATAAAAAGCAAAATAATTCAAGAAGTATAAAAACAAACAAGAAAAAAAAAGAAAAACAACTGCAGCACTTTACTTGAAGATATGGTAGAAAATTAAAAAACGACTACGTTTTTTTTTTTTAGAGACGACATCCCTACTTCAATGTTCCTATAAGCTGTCTTTTCACTGACACCAGGAAACCTAAATCCGGCGAAAATTCAAAGTAGGTCCTAATTTGACGAGTACTCTGCTGTTTCCTTGGGATAGCTAATGTTTGACTTCGCCAAATCCCTCTGCAGCCTGAATTTTTTCAAAATGACGTGTTTCAAGAGGTGTAAACTTTCTATAAAATTGTGTAGTTTTTTAGTAAAAAGGAAGTTATAAATTGGCTTTCAAGCCCATTTTAACAGAAAATATGTACAGTAAAAAACCTTCAGATTCCTATTTTCAGCCTTCCCTAAAAAAACTGATTCGTCGTCTTGAATCACTTCAATGCGGAAAGTCTGCTGCTCTGGATTTTCGTTTCTAACTGCTGCTGACGTCATATTCGCATCATATAAATCTGTCCGTCTAAAAGTTGCTAATATAATGAAATTTGCTCATTTTATCAACAACAAAGAAAAAAAAA